ATTTATAATTTTGTTGCTTGTATCTTTATGATTTTCATTGTTTTATTTAGTTTGCTAATATGATTTGATTATTTAGTATATTATGACTATCACCAAGTGTTGTATCTTATGATTCTTTTTTTGTACTAAGTTTTTATTTTATTTTGTAACATACAAAAATTCCAATTTCAATTGAACAGTATGTTGTCTAGGTACAAATCATTTTAGGAAATAATAATCAAGGTGTTTACAACATTACACACACACACACACACACACACACATAATGGTCTTCTGCGGTTGGCTGCAAAGTAATCTTACCCTTTACCAATGTGAAGATTATTATCTTTATCTATTTTGAGTGCTTGAGAGAACCAGAATGTAGGAAATAATAATCAAGGTGTTTACAACATTACACACACACACACACACACACACACATAATGGTCTTCTGCGGTTGGCTGCAAAGTAATCTTACCCTTTACCAATGTGAAGATTATTATCTTTATCTATTTTGAGTGCTTGAGAGAACCAGAATGTAGGAAATAATAATCAAGGTGTTTACAACATTACACACACACACACACACACACACACACACATACACACATAATGGTCTTCTGCGGTTGGCTGCAAAGTAATCTTACCCTTTACCAATGTGAAGATTATTATCTTTATCTATTTTGAGTGCTTGAAAGAACCAGAATGTAGTTTCCTGAATTGGCAAGAACAAACCTAGTATGTTTCACAATTAAATGAGATACAAATATTCAAAACAGTACCTGCTATGAACAAATTCCACATTCATAGGTTGAAAATTATATGCCTGCTCAAAATCTGAGTTGACTTTAAGGGTAACATCTTCATCATGAATCTATATAAACAGAAACAGCTAATTATTTCATTATATACCCATACTTAAAAAACTCTAACTTAAGAAAACACCAAGAGTTAATTTTTACATTCCTACACAAATTACTTGACCTATTCTTTTATTAATATTCTAACTAAAGTTCCAAAAATTGCTGAACATATATAGGAATCTGGTATGAGGGAATATAAATTAAATGAAAGTTTAAATGCAGTAAATTCGGAGTTAAACACCCCCCCTCCCAATGAAGGATACAATTATATATCACTAACATGAAACTAATTCCTAATAAGAGTTATTTTTAAGTAAACATGGCTTAGCTATATTATTAAGCCATAAATGTACAGAAAATAAGCCAAAAAGAACTAATTAACTTACGTCAGTAATATATGCAGCATAATGGATTACCTCCTCTGAATAGTCTTGGGTCTTCAGTATCACTTTGTCACCTAATTTAAAGTGTATATGTTATTTCCCTTGATACAAAATGTAATAATGCAATTGCACAGGGAACAGAATTCAGAAATCTAACCATATCACTATATTGAAGGCAAAACAATTATTAAGCTTCTCTTTCCCAATATTTTCCTGAAGGCCCAAAAGGAGGGCAATAGTCGACATTATAAATAAAAGTCTTAAAAAAAAAACAAATATAACACTATTGATGGAAAAGCTAACTATATTACTTATATGATCCAAGGCCCAAAAGGAGGGCAATAGTCAACATTATAAATAAAAGTCTTAAAAAAACAAATATAACACTAATGGTGGGAAAGCTAACTATATTACTTATATGATCCAAGTCACAGGTTCTAGCTGTCCTTCAGATAGGCAGAAAAAGAGGTTTGAAGATGCAGTTTATTGCTTTTGTATATAAAATTTAGAAAGTATCTACCAAGGAATAATGAAGGGCGGCCCTCCATGACCCCTGGCACTTCAAGTACTAGGAAATTTCCATTTTTTTTCAAAATGACCCCACACATGGCAAAGTCCTTTAGCTCCATCTCTGAATGGATTTCTTCAAGCCACAAAAGAGTAGAAAAGTTTGCCTTATAGTTAAGTAGCGTTAAACCCTGAAACAAAAAGAGTTGAGAAAATTTAAATTACAGGAGCTGTAAATCATGGGGAACAACCTGTGGCATATCAGATCTACAGTTCTTTTCAGAATTAGTGATGCTGCTTTGGCCTCTGGGCATTGGCATCTCAGAAACATTTGGATAGCAGAGATTCCCCAAGCCTATTCTCGATCCTATAAGCTTCCAATGAAAGACATGGAAATGCAAATTCAGTGAAGTAAAATGCTACTTTTAAGAAGGCACCATATATATTGCATCTTCAAATTGTGTAAACATCTTTCAGTTTTAAGTTTCACACTCTATTACAAGCCAAAGGAAGAAAATAATAAGTAAGGGGTGGAGGGATTAATAAATATTCCAAATAGTTATATGGTTTTTCTTTAAAACCAATGAATGCTAAGACAGTTAAGTATCTTCTGTTGATTTTTCTAAGGGAAGGCAGAAAGAATATTAAAATCGTTTTTCTCCTTCCATAGTGATCATGGAAATCACTTCTAGAAGTTTTTTTTTTTTTAAAGTTGTCTTCCTTTAGATTTCTGGTTTACATGATCCACCATCTTTGACCAGCAGTTTTAATAAGAATATTGGGAGCTGCATCCCAAAATTTCTAATAGCACTCAGGAACAGGATTTTATGATATTATTGCCACCTTTTCATTATACAATTGATGTTTTAACTTTTTTTTATCTTATATAAGATGCTGACTGTTATTAAATAGTGTCACAATGCCAGTTTAATAAAAAATAAGCCCACATAAGTACAGGTGCATATTATTTCCTAATTAATGGGTTTTTTAAAAATCAAGTGAGACATATTTTTTTTTGTGCCTTTAAGGCAGCTTTGACTCCTGATGACTGCCTGACAAATCCCAGCCATTTTCTTGGCAAGATTTCATAGGTGATTCGTCATTGCTCCCTTCCTAAGATCACCCAATTAGCTTTGGGCCTAAAATGGGATGATAACTCACAGCCTCCCAGTTTCTAGTCTGGTGCCTTAACCACGAGATCAAACTGGCTCTCAAATTAGACATACCCTCTTATAAGAGTCCATTCAAAACCAGCTGTTTTTATAAACAAACACTTTGCAATAAATTCCTTTCCCCCATCTCACAGTAGCCCAGAAAAAGCTATATTTTAGCTATTCCAACTTTTTGCCTTCGCTAGACTCAACAAAGACCTATTTGCTCTGCCATTCTTCAATGGAACCATCTTGAAGCTTTTAAGAAAACAAAGGCAGCATGTGAACATCCTTTCAGACCACGTTTCAAAGTTTCATTTCCTATAATTAATAAAAGATAAGCTATGTTATAGTGCAGTGTTTCTCAGTCCTTTTGTCCTTAAGAAGGCCTGGAAATAATGTCCAGATCCCAGAGAACTGACATAAAAACTGCAACCCCCCCACCAAATCATAGAATAAGTTATTCCTATCCTACATAACATTCATTTTACAATATCTGCAATAACAGCAAAACAGCACTGCATAACACAAGAAAGACTGGCGTAGCATACACACATGCTGGTCTTAAAAAAATATTGATCTATAATATTCTGCATTTTGTCAATCTTACAAATAAGATATTTAATTACAGTTGTATCAGATTCATGCATCTGTACATTTAAATTAATAGTGATCTTTACTTACCTCACCAAGTTCCGGATAAAAAACCAATATATCAGATTTCTTTTCCACACATTCTCTTATTCTGTCTGGAATATTGTACTGTGGAAGGAAGTTTGGCAGCTGTCTTCTTGACTTTCTAAGTTATTAGAAAATCAAAGTAGTAGTAATACTCAAAATACACAAAGCAATTCTTGCAGTTAGTCAGCCTAATTGACCATCAGTTAGCTACTATCAGACTTTTTTATTATCATAAACTAACATACATCTCTGCAATGCTTTTCACACAATCTCTGACTTTTCACTTTTAGAAAGAAAAAAGATTGTAGCGACTTTGAAGTTAATTTTCCCCAATAAGGAAGCTTCACTGGCCACTAATCAGACATGACAAAAAGTCACATATACTGTAAATTATGAGCACAATTCCATAAAAACACATGGAAACTGCTACTGATTCAACACCATAGATGTTGGAATGATTTATAAAACAATTTTGAAATAAGTTTCAATAAAAACAGATGAAATGTACTTAAGGCTAGGTAGATTGCAATAGGTTTTAAATATTGAAAAGGTGCAGCTAAGTTTAAAACAGATATATGTCACAGTCGTCTTTAAAATTCAAATATATAGGGCATTGAAACAATCCTTACTGAAAAACTGTTTCTCCGCTCACAATATAAAAAATTGTTCATCAAAAGCACTCAAGTTTCCAAAATGCAGCCTGAGAATCTTGATTTCATAAAACAGACTTATTCCATTTCTTTGAGGTAACTCCTGATTGTATTTCTACTAATAAATCTCTGAAATAAAGATAATCACCATCCCTTAAAGACAATTATATGACATTAGTGCTTAAAACAATTTTTACTCAAGAAATCAAATCATTTGTTTAAAGTGTATTTTAATCTTATTTTAATCAGCAATACCTTTTCAATTGTGGTAAAACCACTGTCGTTTTTGTGATCTGGGGTTCAAAACTGACTTTACATTGTCTCTGAGAATACATCTCATTAGCTTTTATCAATGACTCTTCTTCCGTTACTACAGTCACTTCAAGGTACCGACCAATAACGCAGTCAGAAAAACACAGCAACAAAAGTTCTTTGCAGCGGCCAGGATTTCTTGAATAACATAAGAATTCAGTTAAAGTCCATAAAAAGGTAACAGTCTATAATAAAGTTGGCTTTTCTCCCAGGATATGCCTTGCAGGAGAATAAGATGACCAGATGTCAACCATATGAACAATATTCGTTGTTTTAAGATCATACTGGGTGGTTCAAGCCCACCAGACTACTTCAGTCTACAGAAAACCAATTACTAATGCCATTCCCTTTCTGTATATTTCTGGATTGATAGCAAATACTGTCTGTTTTGCCTTTTTTAGGCCATGCTAGCTGGGAATTGTGAAATCAGGAAGGGATCACATTGGCAAAGGCTTTTGTTAACTGAAGAAAAGATGCGGAGTATGCAATGAACAATGTTTGTGGATGAAAGCTAAGGTAACTAACTTCTTTGACAAGTCTGTCAAGAGCCTTCTGTAACTTGAGTCTACCTTCTAAAGTGTTAGCTGGATGTCATCTGCAGATTTGATGACTTCCCTTTCTATTTCCTTGTCTAAATCATTTATGAAGATGTTGAAGAGTACTGGGCCTAAGACAGAATCTTGAGGTGCCCCACTGCATGCTTCGCTCCATGTAGAAGTCATTCCATTGAGGACTAAGGGTCGTTGGTTAACCAGTTGCGAACACATCTGGTGGTGATACTAGCGATCCCACATTTTTCCATTTTAGCAAGAAGTCAAAGTATCAAGAAAATGGTTATCTACCATTTGATTCTGATCAACACAGCTGTCTAAGTCAAATTAAAAACTTTCATTTAAACTTTCTTCAATTTTACTGGTTTTAACTCACTAGAAGGAAATTTTGTTGTGAAAGAGCTGCCTAAGCTCCAACAACTAAGATGAATTTAACAGATATTCAAAATCACTGGTTAATACTTAAGACAGCTTCAATGAATTCACTCCTGGGTGTTTGCTGAGTCCCCACTGAGACTGATCATTACTTTAAAAGATTCCATTCCAGCAATACAGACAATCAACATTCCTGAGCTCAGATTCTGGATGAATGGAATGTTAAACCATAAATGTTGTTCTTTTTCATACTTTTTCATGAAGCCTTATCAAGTAAAAGAAAAAAAAACCAGATATACAAACTCACAACAGAGGAATCTAGAGTAGAATTAGTCATATATGTGTAATTCCTTTTAGCCACCAGTTTGAATCCTGACTTCTAACAGAGAAAATCATACATTATTGTTTCACAAAATTGTACTCGGTGGAAAGAAAGGAAACATACTTTGCAGTGCATACAACTGTTATAGAAGTATTGCTCCCAGAAGATATAGATATGCTTCTGTTATGTCCTGTGGTTTCTTCTCCTTCACATTCTTGTTTTTCAACGATTAGACTTTCAGATTGTTCAATTGTAGAATTATTACAATCTCCAGTATTGCTTAGATATGTACATTCACCTTTTACAAAAACAAAACACAAAACAAAACCAATCAAATATTCCAACTAGAGCTAATGAGCAGTGTAATAAGTTTTAAAAACTGGATGTATAATTTACCTGCATCAGGGACAGTCAATGCTGATGTTGTTTTCCAGCACACCTGGTTCTTTTCTGGTAACTGAAGACAGAACTGCTTCTCTTTATCCCAGCCACATAATTTGCAGCTAATTAAAGAATGCTCTGTTTCCCCTTTGTTCCTAAAATAATAGCACCACTTTCCATCTCAATATTTAAATATATTATATACAGGAAATGATATCTCAAGTTATTTTATTTTTATTAAATTTATACAGGTAGTCCTTGACTTATGACCATCACTGGAGCCAGTAATCCAGTTTCAGTCATTACAGCCATAGGTCAAGAAAACCCATGGAAGTCTTTTTTGCAGTGATTATTAAGTGAACCAATTCATCTCAATGAACACTTTTATTTTGCTGGAAACGATCACCACAAATTGTGATCACATGAACATAGAACACCAGGACCAGTTGTGAAGCTGACCAGCCCAACATGTATCGTTGTACAGGGTAGGGTGGGTGGCACAACAATTTAGGACAAGAATGCTTTGTGGCCCATAAGGCATCTGTTCCACAGCTATTATATTTTCAACTGGTTGAAAGTCAAGTTTATTTGTACATTTTAATACAATCATAAATAATTCTAGAGTGGTAAGAAAATACACTATGACAGTTTTATCCTTTATCCCACCAATATGATGACAAGAAACTGTATCCCTATAATGGTAAGAGACTATATCCAATGAAGTCGTTCCATTTGAACGAATTTTCAGAAGGCCTCTATTAATACTAATAAACTTAGTACTAATATAATAAACTTAAAATACTAATAACGTTAGCTTAGACTGTGGTTATGTTTATATATTCAAAGCCTGTATTTTGCATGTAGCTTTAAGTGAATTGTAAAAAGAACAAACCTTGCCTGTGACTTTTGGACCAATTAGGAAAAACACACACAGTAGGAAAAACATTTTTTTCCATGCATAAACACAGCATTTCTTTTCAGTTTGCCTGGTGCACGGAGCACTGGCATTTTTTCTGTGCTAGGAAATCATTCTAAGTGCTTGCTAAACATATAAAGCACTTTAATTGTTCCTTGTCTTTCTCAAGAGGAAAGATGCAAGACAACCAAATTGGAACTTCATTGTTGGACTTCCACTTTGTTCTGTATACTTTACTAGACAGGGAAAAGCTCATGGGTAGCTCAGCCTTGGACATTAGAGTAAGCTGTGGGTTTAAGTTATGATAAACATTTTAAAAGAAAAATCTAGGCAATAACAAAATTAACTTACTCTATCCAGATTTCCATATTTTTGCTCGCTCCTAATTTGACTTTTCCAAAATTTGTCATTTTTGAAACTTCGAGTCCTTCTTTATCTTTCAATAAATTTTCATTTGGCTCATTGAGATTTATGTCTTGCGACAGCAATGATCTGAAATATTAATTGATAATATCTTTAATAAAGTTATTCAAATCAATTTTATTCATTGCATCCATGCAATTGGTATGTTAGCTGTTAGTACGCAGCTAACATACACTTTCATCCAGGATATTTAAAAAAACAAACCCTAATATGGACCAAACTTTGAAAAAGCAAATAAAAACATTATCATAATAATTATATTTTATGTAATACCATTTCAAAATATATTTTATTAAAAACAAGTTCTTAACAAATAGATAGAAAACATATTTGACTGCTGATTGTGAATGTATTTTGGACAACCCCAAACAAAAACAGATTTCTTATATAACGACTCATCTGAAACTACTGAAAATTAGAAAAGAGTCAGTTTGATCTAGTGGTTACGGTTCCAGGCAATGAACCAGGAGATTGAGTTTTAGTTCCATTTTAGGCATAAAAGTCCTGTGGATGACTTTGTCTCTTAGCCCAACCCACCTCACAGAGGTGTTGTTGTGAAGAGAATAGAAGGCAGGAGTAATAGCAGTGGTGTGTTCCTATTGGTTCGGACTGGTTCGGCCGAACCGGTAGTGGTTTGGCAGCCTGGGTTGCTGGAACCAGCAGTGACCCAGGCCTGCCATGGTTTTTGAGTTCTGCGCATGCGCAGAACAATTTTAATTGCACTGTGCATGTGTGCGCAGCATGCACCAAGCGCTTGTGTGGCATGCACACAAGCAAAACGGCAGTAGTGCTTGCCGTAACCCACCCCTGAGTAATAGAATGTTCACCACTTTGAATTATTTATAAAAAATAATAAAGACTGGATAAAAAAGTCTTTAAAAGCCCTGGGAAAAGTACTATTTAAAACTCCTTTTATTTTTCATATCAGCTCATAATATAGTCTTGAATCTGTGGGGGAATAAATATGAATAGTAAATATTAAGGAGTGAAAATTTTGAAAGTCTGCTTACAAAAATCCTTTAAATCTCTTTGCTGTTAGCATGAACTATCCTTGAATAATAAAATAAATAAGGATAACAAACATGTTACTTTTAACTATCTCAAACAAAAACCATAAGATGGAACGGAACAAAACGGAACAGAACAGATGCTATTTTACTCAGTATCACACTTATTTTCAAGAACTGTAGGACGACTTTATAAACTTGAATTAAATAATTTTGTTAAGAATTATAAAAACTGCATTACCGATTTTTGTCTGCTGGAGCCATGCAAAATGCTCTCCAACTATAACATGACTGGTTACTCTCCACAACCACAACATTGACAAGATCATTTTTATGGGGTAAATAATCCTCAGGAAGAGTCAGAAAATCCAGACTGAAATATATACTGTTGTCTATAACACCAGTTCTTCCATACATATTGGAAATATGAACCTGCAATAATTGTAGTTATCATTAGATTAAATAAGAGTATAAACAACTATAATTTGATGCCCCAATATGTGTGAATGATATACTTAGCAGGTACTGATTAAGAACTCCTGATAAGCAAAAATGATAAAATACACTTGCATTTCCTGTGGCTTGTTTAGCCTTATTTGTGAAGGAGTAGCTTGTTTGTCTTCTAATACAGTTTATGATACAGGTTTTGGTACTGTATCCAAATTACCAGTAGTCCTTGACTTATGACCACAATTGAGTCCAACATTTCTGTTGCTAAGAGAGACATTTGTTAAGTGAGTTTTGCCCCGTTTTATCACCTTGCTTGCCACTGTCGTTAAGTGAATAATTGCAGCTGATAAGTTGCAGAAGTAACATGGTTGTTAAGTGAATGGCTTCTCCACCCTCAGAAATTAGGGTAGACTTGGGAGTAAAGTCACAGGTGGAAGGTGATTGGCCCCTCCCATAGGAACTAAAAGAGGAGCGAAAGGGGAGTGGGCTTATGCAGGAAACAATTCATTTGTTCAGTTGTTAAGATTCATTTCAGGAGTGTAAAGATCTGTCTGTGAATCTCAGGGACTCTGTGCCCAATCTTTCCTTGCACAGCACCTCATTTGGAAAATATTTACATGGCAGATTTCCAAGATATATAAGGTCTGTAGCCATAAATATTCCTTTGAAAGACTGTTTACCAGGCCTTGCTGAATGTGAATGAGAAGAATTTACATTTGTTTAATAAAATGGGTTTTGTTAGGACCAGGACTCTGCTTTTTGGGGAAGCCTAGATCAGAACAAGGCAGTTCTTGATTTACAACCAGTCACTTAGCAGTTCAAGTTACAACGAACTTGAAAAAAATACTTTGACCCATCCTCAAAGTTATGGCTGCTATACCATCCTTGGGGTCAGATAACCACATTTTGAGCGCTTGGCACCTGGTTTGCAGTTATGACTGGTTACAGTATCCTGTCGTTTTGCCATCTTCTGGCAAAAAGTTACCTATTGGATAAGCTGTACTTGGACTTATGACCATGTGATTCACTTCGTGAATGCAGTGACTTGCTAAAGGATCAGTGTAAAAATGGGCATAAAATCAAGTCTGGTTATGTGGTAACTCAACTTATGACTGCAATGACTTAAGACAAAATTCTGGGCTCGATTGTGGTCGTACGTCAAGGACTACCTGTAGAGGCTGAGGCTACTATTGGATATGTCCTGTTTTCAGGTCATGGTGTCAGGATTACCAATATGAACTTTAATCTTTAAAAAAACATTTCATATTCTTAGAAAAAATTTTTTACACCACAACAGACTTTCTAATAATTTAACTGCCAGGTTTCTCCCTTCCTCTCAAAATTTTAATCTTGTTAGAGGATAAAGACCATTTCTTTTTTGCACTTTAGTGCTTCCACAAGTTGAAAAAGGTTTTATTGCAACAAAGAGATTTCATGGCTACTGGGCAGAATCAGAATTATTCTAAGCTATCTGAATCAAGGCAGTTCCTATAGTGTCTACTGATTTCTCCTCCCACCACCCATTACAGCGATTGAAATACCTGCAAGGTCTTCCAATGTAGTAACACGTACCTTGTCAATTCTTTTAAACCGTAAGGGCTTTACAGATATGGCTTCACTTGTCCATGTTGTTGGGTCGACAATATATTCAGCTTGCACCAAATCTCCTTTACAAGGATAAAAGTCTTAAAAGATAAAATAAAAAGCAGTAATTCCGAATCTGTTAAAAAGGGAAGGCTTCAAGGCTGTATAAAATAGCCCTGCTTGATTTTGTGGAGCTCCTTGATTCTGACATGAAGCTATGACACAATTTGGAAAAGCTGAGTGCTTTCCCACAATATCTCCAATTGGAGCTGACTATTTAATTTTGATACAGAGTGTAGCTTGACTAAACTGCATCCGAGAAACAATTTGGTCAAAAGCTCCACTAAAATGATGTATCCCTTCCAGACTTTGCACGTATGCTGTGTTTCCCCGAAAATGAGACCCTGTCTTATATATTTTTTGCCACCAAAAAAGGCACAAAGTCTTATTTTTGGGAGGAGGGATGTCGTCCACTGACCTACCTCACTCGCATGTGTCACCCCTGGCCTCCTTTTTGCTGTCAGAAGCAAAACAAATAGTGGTTAAGGAATAAAAAAGGAGGGAAATAATGTAAAAGACCTAAAAGGGGAATGGGAAAAACAGGAAGACAATTGGGGAAAAGAGATAGGAGGTGGAATGGATAGTTCTGGAATTAGACAGTAGGAAAGGGCAGAGTTGGGAGGAAAAGTTAGATTACATAGTCAAATAGAGGGAATAAAAGTCCTAAGGGACAAATATGGGAGGAAATTTTTTTAAAAAAAGATTAATGGTTCGGATGCGGGTAAGAGATGATGGATAAGCAAAAATAGAGTAAAATAATATTTTTATGAATATATTTCAATAATGTGTATTAATATCAGAACTGTACAGGTTGTATTATTATTTTAGCAGTGTGATAGATATCAGGATAATATTTTAATATAAATGGATATGAAGAATTGTAAAAATAGATTTTGAATGACTGTACTACTAAATATGTATAAAAATATGAACAATAGTGGAAGGTTAGAACAATCATTGGCGATTAGGGAAATATACATACATATATATTAATCTAAATAAGTGTATTAATAGTAGAATTATATGGATTGAAAAACTGGAAAGAATATGAATAAAAATACCCTAAATGTATACATGATTGTGATTGATATTAAAACTGTATAAGGAGACATTGAATAATTGAAGAATGAAGGCTGGAACTTTGATTTAACTAAGGAAATATGAACAACAAAATACGTGGAAAACACACATCTTCGAACATTATAGCGATATGAAAGGGGGAAAATGTTAAAATAAGGATAGAAAATAGTGGGGAATAATAATAATTATATATTAATATGTTAAAATATACAAAAGGACAAAAATGGTTCAGCAATAAAAGGTGATAACAAAAGGCATGCATAAATAATATGAAATAATTGAAATGAAATGCAATGTTTAGGAATAAGATTATTATGTTTACGTGTACTGAAATGTATGTTACCCAGTTACCACACCATTCATGCATTGATATGTATAAAGAACATAAAAAATAAAAATTTGACTGGAAAGTCTTGCCAGCTGCAGCAAAAGAAATGGGCCAAGGTGTGCGAGGCCTGACTGCAAATATACGAAGTTAAGTAGTAGGGCAGCTCCATCCCCCCATCCCCACCCTAGTTTAATTTTTACCCATGCACCCTGGAGTAGGCAAGGTCTTAATTAAGGCTTATTTTGGGGGTAGGGCTTATATTGGGCACACATGTAAAAATCAAGCTAGCTCTTACTTTCTGAGTAGGTCGTATTTTTGGGGAAACACGAACATATATACTACATTTTATACCATACTGTAATTTAGCCAAATGTTGGATTACAAAAGAAAACAACTAAAGATATGTACTTCCGCAGTCAATACATATTTTAATCACATTTACAAGTAAGCAAGCTGTTCAAGAGATAAATATATATTTTTCTGTGAGCAAGTATTTCTTTAACTTGGCCATCAAGTATTCCCGCAATCATGTGATTGTGATCTGGGCACTTGGGGTTTGGCTTGCAATTATAACATCGCCATAATTGTGTGTAACAGTCATAATTGTAACTTCTGTCCTTACCTGCCAGCTTTCCACAAGCAAATTCAATGGAGAAGCCATCAGGAAGTTGAAGTCACAGTCATGTGAAATTCTTATTTTATGATGGCAAATGAGATTGCCATTGCTAAATGTTGTGGTCACGTGATTTCATGCTTTATGACAGTGTCGCTTAGCAATGACAATTCTGGTCCCAAATGTTGCTGTTAACTGAGGACGATTATCTGTACTTAACCCAATATATCATCTGAAACTTAAAATTGTAGCTTTAAAAAAAAAAAAACTTTCAAAGGAAATATACAGGTTACCTTTACAAACTACCTTCATAGAGAAAGAGGTTTGATTGATGTAGCCGCTAACTCCAGTGAACTTTGTAATACTGCCAATGAGTGTTTTAACATTTGCATCCCCCGTACTTATGTTGTTATCATCCCATTTTTCACAGATGCTTTCTACCTGCAAAAAGGAACAAATCAACGTTTATTGTTGATGATATTTCTGGTGGGATGAGTGCAACCCTTTTAAAAACATTTCTGGTATCATTCTAAAGACAAAAACAAGGAACTGAACACTAGATCAACAAAATGATAGGTAAACCAAGCACCACCAAAAGTTGAGAATATTCTTTAAACCAAGTAATTTCCAGACATGTGAGACGATTGCAATTTCTAGACAGTCATGGAATTGAGCAG